CACTCACCGTGCACTATCACCAGTACAAATATCGCCGTCATCCATTCCCATCTTCCTCGGCTCACTTGCGTGTTGACTTGTTTGCCCTAGGCGGTTGAGCACGTCCTCGACCGCCCGACCCCGCACATGCCCCCCACCAACCTCATTACCAGCTATGACTAATCTGATTTCACTACTATTCTACTACATACACACACTACGTTCATGCACAATCTCCAATCCACAGCTGCAGTATTCCAGAATCGGAGTTCTGCCGGCTCGGCCCCAGTTGTTGGCCCTGTGTCCCTTCGATGCTGCTGACCCCTCCTCCGCGGGCCCATCTCCGACCCCCACTCCCCAACCTGTCCACCCACAACCACCACACCAACACCCCACATACTCACTACCCCTGCAAACATAGCCACCCACTTCCCGTTCCCCGATACGTACATCAGCCGACGCCAACCCGTCAACAGCATCGCTGCCGGCCGCCTGCTGCTGACCGCTGACCGCCGCCCGCCGCCGACCGACCACCGCCGGCACCACCGAGAGCAAGCTAGCCATCGACAGGGCATTGGAGGCCATGCATACGGATAGCCACATCATTGGCAATGCCTACCAGTCCACTCTCCAACCCACTTCTCCCCTCCCTCCTCCGGCCTTGCCCATCACAGCCCCCACCGGCCTGCTCATCGCCAGCCGCCCCTGCCGCCGACCACCGAGCCAGACGACGAGGCCCATGGACTGGCCATGGCGTGGAAGAACAAGAGAGGCAAGCACGATCGATAAGCAATACAATGATGGGCTAGAGTGCAGTGGTCTGCCTTGTCTTCCAATCCCATGCCCTCGTCTCCATCGACGTCCATCTCAACCCAATCCATCCCGCCCTCCTCGCCCTTGCCGCCCAAGTACCTGCCTCCGTCATCTCACACATCCCCTGCCCCAACCCTGCGCGTGGTCATCTCTCATCCCACACTGCAGACAGTACAAATATCACCATCATCCGCCACCATCCACTCTCACTTGCACAGCCTCGTCGCGAATGCCATTCCGCCAACTTTCGCGCCATTTCTGTGCCAGCCCGCCACCCACCCTTCTCTTCCTCAACGCCCCACCAGCAGACGCACACACACCTTCCGGGGCCACATACCCCTTCCTTCTGTTATCATGTCTTATGTTAATTACTACTACTACATGCATGGCATCACGCCGCCGTCCCCGTCACCGCCGCCCTCGCCGCCTCTCTCGCTGCTCTCGTCGCCGCCGGCCGCACCGAGTGCCCTGCATGCATCGCTTGGTGTCATCTACGACGACCGCATGCTTGCCCACGCGCCCAAGTACACCGGCCATCCCGAGCGGCCTGAGCGCTTGACCGCTGTTATGGACCGCCTCCGCGCCGACGCGCTCCTCGACTCGGCTCGCGTCATGGCCGGCGTCGAAGCCGATGAGGACGACCTTGCGCTCGTCCACTCTCGCGAGCACATTGCCCAGGTCCAGGGTCTCAGCGCACTGCCGCAGCGCGAGGCCCGGCTCCTCATGCGCAAGCTTGACTCTATTTATTTTAACGAGCTCTCGCCGCTGGCAGCCTCGGTCGCCGCCGGCTCGACTGTCGCCATCACCCACGCCGTACTGGCTGGCGAGCTTGATGCTGGCGTTGCCGTCGTTCGTCCGCCTGGCCACCACGCCGAGCCAAGCGAGACCAAGGGCTTTTGTTTCTACAACAACGTTGCTGTCGCTGCTGCTGCGGCGCTCAAGTCTGGCGCAGCCTCCCGTGTCCTCATTCTCGACTGGGACGTTCACCATGGCAACGGGACCCAACGCATGTTTGAGTACTCTCCCGACGTGCTTTACATCTCGCTTCACCGTTTTGACCACGGCCGCTTCTATCCGGGCACTCGCTACGGAGGACCGACCTCGATTGGCTTTGGTGCCGGTAAGGGCTACTCGGTCAACATCGGCTGGAATCATCGCGACTTCCGGCCTCGCCCCAAGGCCTTTGTCTTCGACATGAGCCCAGACGCTCCCGACGCGCCTGCCGAGCCCGACGAACCCGAGACTCCGGCCCACAATACCGCTCCGGGCGATGCGGAGTACATGGCGGCCTTCAGCTCGCTCGTCATGCCCATTGCCACCGAGTTTGATCCCGATCTCGTCCTCATCTCCGCCGGCTTTGATGCTGCTGTTGGTGATCCGCTCGGCGAGTGCGAGGTCACACCACAAGGGTATGCGTTTATGGTTCATGCACTCTCATCGCTGCCGTCGGCCAAGGTTGTCATCGCCCTCGAGGGCGGCTACAACCTGGAAGCCATCTCTGTCTCGATGTCAGCGTCCGTGTCTGCACTTGTCGACGCTGCTGCGCCCGACGGGCCCGATACCTCGGCCAGCGGGCCGTCCGGCTCGTCGCCACCTCTCCTTGCGCCGCATCCATCTGCCCTCCGCTCCATCGCCACTGTAGCTGCTGTCCTTGCGCCACACTGGAAGTGCTTGCCGGATCCGTCGTCGTAGCTGTAGCCGCTGCTCACGCCTCGATCAACTTGTTATACTGCTCAAGCGCGTACACCACGGCGTCGAGCGTGTCGCAGAGGTGGACAACGGTCTCGGCCACCTTGCCGGGCCCGGTCGTCATCATCAGCATCTCAAATGCGGCTGCAGCCTCGTTCGCAAACACCTGCGCCCGCACCGAGTACACCGGAAGGTCAAACTCGAGGAACTCGGCCGGCTCCGCCAGCTCGTTGTTGATGTTGTTGATGAGCTCGCCGAGCGTCCGCATGGCGAACATGTCCAGCTCCTCCTTCGACTTGCGGCACGCCTTGGCCACACGCCGGCCGGCATACACCGCAGCTTCGGCAGACTCGACAAGCGCCACAAGGATCTCCTTGCGCTTGCGGAGATCCTCGAGGTCGCCGCGCGTCACTTCCTCGTCAAACTCGTCCTCGTCCTCGGTCGACGACGACGACGATTCACCCGCGTCCTCACGCGCCTGCTTCTGCACAGACGACAGGATCGCGTCGGCAATCGCACCAGCGAGCGCCGACTGGCGCTTCGGCGACCGCAGGTCACCAGCGTCGTCCGACCCACGCCGCCGCTTGCGCGTCCGCCGCCCGGAAGCCGCAGCCGCAACATCCTCGGCCTCGCGCGCCGCCGCGTGCTCAAGCAGCAGCCCCTCAATCTCCTCCGAGTCGACATCCGACCCGACCTCAATCTCGATCACGCCCGACTCCGACTCCGAGTCGGTCTCATCATCGTCTGTCGACTCGCCCTCCACAGCCACAAGGTTGCCGGCCGCCACCTGCTCCTCCAGGAACGCGTTGAGCTCGTCCTCGTCCACATCCGACCCGATCTCGATGGTCACAAGCTCCTGCTCGCCGTCATCCGACTCATCGTCCGACTCGGACGACTCGCCCTCCATCGCAATGAGGTTGCCGGTCGCAGCCTGCTGCTCGAGGAACTCGCGGAGGTCGTCCTCGTCGACGTCCGACCCGATCTCAATCTCCACAATCTCGCCGTCGTGCTCGTGGTCGTCCGAGTCCGAGCTTGACTCATCCTCGTCCGACTCGGAATCAATGCGCTCGACAGCCACCACGTTGCCGACCGCCGCCTGCTGCTCGATGTAGTCACGCACGTCGTCAGAGTCAACGTCCGAGCCGAGGTCAATCTCCACAACCTCGTCGTCCTCATCCGAGTCCGACGCGCTGCCCGAGCCCGACACCGGCTCCACATCAATAATGTCCTCCTCGTTCAGCTCCTCAGAGCCGCCCGCCTCAGAGTCGGCGTCCGACGCCACCGCGTACAGCACAGGCTCGTCCGAGTCGAGCACCACAAGCCGTTCCGAGACCGATGACGTCGACGAGTCCGACGACGAGCCCGACTGCGGGACAATCACAACATGCGAAGAACGGTGGGGAGACATGGTTGAAGGGTAACTAGCTACGACTTGCTTGACAAACAGCGTGGGAAAGTTGGGTGTCGGCTGGTCTGCTGTCGTGGCCAACAGTGCACAGGGGGGGGGGAGGAGCCGAGCTGCGGATGGATGGATGAGGATGGATGGATGCAATGCGACTCGGTCGCCCAAGCCAAACTTTCACTTTCGCCCAACTGACGGGACGATGACGACGTTGGCTGGTTGGTGGCCCGGCCCGAGTCCGCTGTCGCTGCCGAGCAGCTAGTCTCCCGACGGCCGCGACGACGGCAGCGGCGGCGGCGGTGGCATGACAATCGGCGGCAAATGGCTCGGCGGCCCGCCGCTCCCGCTGCCAGGCCCATGGCCGCCTACGTGCTGGCTCGGCAGCACGTGGCTCGACGGCGGATGCATGCTGCCAGACATCAGGCGCGAGGAGAACGGCATCACCTGCGAGGACATGGCCTCGGACGGCGGCGCCGGGACCGGTCCGGATCCCTTCTCGCTCTTGCGCTTGCTCCGCATCGGCCGCAGGAACGGGTCCGAGACGAGCGTAAGCACGTCGGGCCGCGCATGCTGCGAGTACTCGAGGCAGCGCTTGATGAACGCCTTGGCCTCCTCAGAGACCTGCGGCTTGGACGGGAAGACAACCTGCCGCGCGTTGATGATCACATTGTCCTTCAGCAGGTTCTTCTGCGAGAGGTCGTTGCCAAACGGCTTGCGCCCATACAGCATCTGGAAGAGGAGGACGCCCACCGACCACACGTCGACCTTGGACGAGATTGTCGGTGGGGACGGTCCCACCACAAAGCACTCGGGTGGGAGGTACCAGTACGTCCCGGCGCCCTGCGAGGTCAGCTCCATGTTCGACGCCTCAGACTCCATGATCTTGGAAAGGCCAAAGTCGGTCACCTTGGCCATGCCAAACTTGTCAAACAGAATGTTCGCAGGCTTGAGGTCGTAGTGGATGACCGGCCGCTCCAGCCGGTTAATGTACGTGAGAGCAGACATGATCTGCGCCGTAATCGACCTCGCCGCCCGCTCCGGCAGCTTCTTCCGCTGCTTGAGCACTTCGTCGAGGTCCGAGCCCTCGCAGTACTCGAGGACCGTGCAGAACGAGTTGCGGTCGATCTCAAAGACGTCAAAGAGCGAGACAATGTTGGGGTGGCCCAGGTTGTGGTGGATCTGGTACTCGCGGATGGCGTGCCGCGTGTAGTTGGACTTTTTCTCATCCGACCAGTGGCCCGAGAGCTGGTGAATCTTGCATGCCACGTACCGCAGCTCCTCGAGGTCAAACGCTTTGTACACTTCCGAGAACCCGCCCTTGCCGAGCAAGTTGAGCAGCATGTACCGCGAGTTGAGAATCTGCTGCTGGTTGAACGGCGAGTTGTCCTCGTCGTGCGCTCGCCGCAGATCGCGGATGAGCACGTGCTTTTCGGCCTCGAGCCGCTCGCGTGCGTGGAACAGCTCTCCCTCCTCCTTCTTGGCCTTTTGCAGCTCGAGCCGGAGCACCTCCTCGTAGTGCACCACAGACTCGGAGCTCACCAGCGTCCCCGCCGGGAACGCATCCGACGACGTCTCGTCCTGCACAAGCACCTGCGTCCCGCCACCGATCCCCCCAAGCGCCATCGGCTTCAGCTCCACCACCGGCGGCGACTTGACTCCGCCGGGCACAGACGATGCCCCGGTCGAGAGCTTGCTCTTGTGCTTGAGCTTCGACAGCTTCTTGCGTTCCTTCTCCAGCGCCTCCTTGCGCGCACCGAGCCGAGCAAGCTTCATCTGCAGCTCCAAAAACTCGAGCCCGTCCTGCCACACCTCCACCACCTGGTGCCCGTGCCGCTCGCGCGTGATGTATCCCAGCCGCGCCTGCGCCTGCTTCAGCCGCCGCCGCTCCTCAAACATCGCCGTCCGCGTCTGCTCCACAAGCATGTCGATCAGCAGCGACGTCATTCGCGACGTCCGCGACTTGTACCGCGACTCAAACTCGTTTCGCTGCTGCACAACGTGCGAGAGCTGCATTTCAAGCTCGGAAATCCGGGCGCTCGCTGCCGCTGCCGCGGCGCTCGCCGCCGCAGTCTCGGCCTCGGTCGGCTCGCGCGAGCCCGAAACAGACGTCGACCGCAGCCGCTGCCGCTTCGACATCCGCTCGTCCTCCTCGGGCGGGACAGAGCCCGACGACGACGGCGAGCCGCCGCGCCCATTCGACCGCGACCGCTTGCGCGAGCCCGCTCCCTTGGACCCTGAACTCCGTCCGGGTGACGACGGCGACGCCTCGTTCGGCTGCGCCGCCGCCTGCGCTTTCTCGATCCGAGAAAATCTCTGCCGAATCTGCTTTGCAGACCGGTTGAGCTGCTTCTCGCTGACAATCCGCTCCCAGTCCTTGCCGAAATCGCGGACGCCAGCCACAATCGCCCAGTCCTCCTCTTTGGAAAACCGCTTGCCGCGCGACTTGATCGCGCTTGCGCTTGCGCTCGTGTTCGACCCGCTCAGCAGCAGCGGGTGCGTCATCGGGTTCGCCGCAGACGGGTGCGTCACACGCGGCCCGCCGGGCTTCTCGGGCTCGCCAAACGATGCCCCGCCTGGCCCGGCCACAGGATACCGCAGCTGCTGCAGCGCAAGCGGAACAGCCCCGCCGCCGGGCAAAGACGGTGGCCGCACCCCGCCGCTGGCCCGCACCGGCGACGACGACGCCGCAGCCGCTTCCGCTGCAGACACCGACTCGGCCGACGCCACACGCGGCACAAGGTCCATCATGCCCGACGAAATGGGCTTGCCCTGCATCCGCGCCTCAAGTAGACTCCGACGGTGGTCCGTTAGCCCGTGCGAGCTGCTCGCCACAGGCCCTCTGCTCAGCCCACGCGTGTCCGACGACTGCTGAGCCATGTTGAAAATCGTCGAAACTCGTCAACCTTGCCCTCCTCCGCCGCTCTCAAGACGCCTGCTGTCGCCCTCTGCTGATCACACACGCACGCTACCTGAACCCGTTCTGCTCTTGCAGTCCTCAAAGGCTACTACTCCTGCAACCACTGCTCTGCTTCCCGCTACACGCCGGGAGGAACGTCAAGTGATGTCCAAACTTTCCCCCCTTCCTCGCCCCTCTCCCAATCACTCGGAATGAACTATGCAATCGTCCAAACGTGTTTTGTGTGACGACGGCAATTACGCCAACAGGCGTCCCGATCTCCACACCGCCATCTTGCTCACTCGATGCTCCATCAGCGCCTCCTCTACTCTAATATCTTCTGATCATAGCCCCTACATTTGCCTTCCCTTCTCCGACCCTCCTGCTTGCCTCCTCCCTCCCCCCTCCGGCTTCTCCCCGAGTGTGCCCTGGTCTGGTTTCTCGCTCAATGGGGTGATGTGTTTTCTTTCTCTGGAAATGCCCTCGCCCGCTGGGCACCTCGGCGTCTTGCGCCTCGCTCCTACGACGAGGCACATTGTCTTGCCGTCTGCACGCCGAGACACATGGACGTCTTGGCGGATCGCAAGACGGGGGAGCCTGACGGCAACATCGCCGCCGGCGATGGCGGCAAGCTCGGCTAGCGCGCCACGTGCAAAGTGGTTGGTTGGATAGCTACCGACCAGCTACGCCATCGGCTGCTGCGGCGGCGCCATTGAGCCGTTCATCATAGCAAATGCCGTCTGACGCTCGAGCTCGATGGCGAGCGGGACGACGGCCACTACAAACGACGAGCCCACAATCCATGCGTAGCGCCCAAGCTGGAGCGCAGCGACCTTCGAGTGCTTCCAGATCCACTGCGACCACTCCTGGAGCGGCGTCTGCTCAACAGTAAGCTGCTTGGCTACTCCATTGTCGCCGCAATGGCTCCCTAGGTAAGTCCTGCGCCCCTGTGCCTGCGCTACAGTACCCCCTTTGCGTCTCCGCCTTGATCCCCTCCGTCGCACGACCCGCCAGCCGCACACAACCGCACATGGACCCTAACACACCCTCGCCCTCGCTCCATAGAGGGCCACGCCTCCCCACGCCCTCCCGCTTCACGTACTCTCAGACATGGTGAGTGGTGGAATCAAGTGTATCGCCTCTCCTGCGACTGTCCTCCGCCCCCCCCCTCCCCCGTTTGCCGCCTCTCGCCGGCACTTGTCCGATGACGCGCCGCCAGCCGCCCATCATCATCACGCCATCCCCTCCATGCGCCCCCATCACCACCACTTCCGTCACTGCAATGCAACCAACCTTGCCACATGTGTGCGGCTTCGTCCGAACTTCTCTCGCTTCTCTCCCAAACTGCTCTGATCGGCGCACCGTAGCCCTTGACCGTCCCGATCCTACCTCATACCTGACCCCAGTGCCCGCTCCCGCCCGCAACCATCTGCTCCCGCTCCATCCGCGCCATACTCATGCCGCTTCCCTCTCTGGTGCCTTGTATTGCCAAATCGCTTGCCTGCTGTCCTGCTGAGAAGCATAGCTGCACAAGCCACCCGTCACGAGTTTTGCCCGCCCACCCTGCCACCACCACCTCTCCCACACACCCATACTTGTAGACCATGAGCAGTCCCGCCGACTTCATCATTCTCTCTGACGAGACCGTCACCATGCTTCGGGAGCTCTTCTCTGCTCTCGACCAGGACGGCGACGCGGTCCTTACCGCCAACGACTTTTCCTCGCCTTTCAATGGCCGTGTACGTTACCTGCTCAAGGTTGCGCTGGTGAGGAGGGGCAGGCGAAATGGAAAAAACCGCGACTCACCTTCCCCCCTCTCTGCCCCCTCACCCTCTTCCCCCCCCCCCTTCCTCCCCTCCCACCCCTGCACATCCGCACTTTACAGATGAACGATGTTGGTCGGCAGAAGTTCATCATGCTCCTCGAGAACTTTGACCAGGACGGCGACGATTGCATCGAGTTCCCTGAGTTTATCTACGGCTTCAAGGCCATGGCTGCAAACACCGCCGCCCCCACCCTTCTTGGCGTCGAGGGCCTCACCTACGGCGAGATCATCGCCAAGCTCCAGATCGCTGCCAATGAGCTCATCTTTGAGTTTGCCCAAGAGCTCTTCCAGGCCATCTCGTCCTAAACCGCACACCACCCGTAGCCCGCCCCTTTCCCCCCCCTCCCCTCTCGCACCCCTCACACCCCACTCCCACCCAGGAACCCCTCACACGCACACGCACACATACATGCGTAGCATACTACTCTTACTTCTACTGGGCCTCTGTGCAACCGCAGTTTCCGGGGCGAGCATGCTACGGGGCATCCCGGTTGTGTACGTCGCCGTCGTCCACGTGCGCTGACAGCAACACGCAATGGAAGCTGTGATCGATAGTACACTCACGCACCTCGCCCCATCCCTTTCTCCACGCCACTCCCACACGCAGCGCAACGTCGTATGCTACAGAGACCCCGCAGCCGCTCGGGCGGTGCTCTGACAACAGTCACTGCGACATCGGATCCGTCTGCTCGCCGCACGGCTCGTGTACGCCGCGCGACGCCTGGCCGGCCGATACAGACCCTGTTGGCATCCGATGGACGCTCTACGCCGCAGTAGCGGCTGTTGCACTTGTGTTCTCGTACTTTTCGTTCACTCCGCGCGTGCCGATGTTGCGATCCCCGGCCAACCTCTTTGCTGCGATGGCCTGCGCTCTAGCAGCCGTTTTTGTCGTCTCGATCCTTCTCGACCCGACTCCCAGCGTCCATGTCGCGCCTCTCTCCCCCGAGCTCCTGGGCAACGCCACATGCGTCGAACGCTACGATCCAAGCTGTGCTCCGTTTGTTTGTGAGACCCGGGCTGGCCACTGTCTCGCCAGCTGCTCCTCGCATGTCGACTGCACCGATGTTGGACTCGCCTGCGTCGGCGGCGAGTGCGTCGCTGCAACCTCGCTCACCTCTCAGGCGGTCTACACCTGGCGAGTGATCCTGACGCGCGTGGTTGGTATGTTGGCCCTTGTTGGGCCGTGGGTTTTTGTTGACATCTTTGTCGCTCGCCCATACCTGTACAGCGTCGACTTTATCGCCGTCCCGGTCTACGCCTTCTTCGCCTGCCTCTGGCTCCTTGCTACCGCCTACACCGCTTCGTCTGTCGGCTACGTGCACACGCCGCCGCAGTACGAAAAGTATTCAACCCGCTACTTTATGTGGTCGCCTTCGGTGCCGTTGGACCTGGGCGAAGATGCGTTTGCCTACTTCGCCTCGTATGGCCTCATCGCCCGCGCCGTCGCCACGCTTCTGCCATCGGCAGCTATGGTACTCGCAACATCCTGCACGACTCGGCTTGTTGGTGCCCGCGCTTACCGTCTGCGTGCTCTTCCGCTCACTATCGCTGTCGTTCTCTCCATTGCTAGCGCCGCACTTGGCATTCCGCCGCCAACTGTGTTTGTGCTCGTCGCGCTCGTTAGCAGCTACATGCAGCATGCCTGGGATGACTCGTCGATCCGGCTTCCGGCAGCCTTTTTTGCGCTCGCCGTCTTTAGCTACCCAGGCGCGGTCATGCTCGACTTCATGACCACCATGCCATCTGAAGTCACGCTTGGCTTTGCGCTGCTGCTGGCCCTGGTGGCGGGTCTGCGGTTCCGACCCAACAATCGCTCAGTCCGGGCGTGGCACTGGCACCGTGCCGCTATCCTGGCCGTCACCGTATCCATCGCCGTTGTCATGTGCATCACCTATGCCCCCTCCAAACCGCCGACGGATGGCCTTCCATGCTCGCCGCAGGCCATGTCACACTGCTACCCGCTGCGGTGCGAGTATGCGGCCGGTGCATGCATCAGCTCGTGCGCCGGGAGTGACGAAAACTGCATCGCCGGCTTTGTCTGCTCCGACGTCAGCGGCCGGCCGACCTGCGTCCCTCTCGTTGATGCCGAAAACCCAGAAGCCGAGCACTCCAAATCGTGGCTCTATCCGTTCTCGATGGTCCTCGTCCTGCTCGCCAATCTTTGTGCGGCAGCGGGCTCGATCTGCTTCGTTTTTGTCGCTGGCCCACGGCTCTCCGTTCGCGCCCTCGTCGCTGTTTCTGTCGTTGCGCTTGGTCTTGCTCTTCTCTTCTCGCTGTTTGGCATCAACATGCTCGCGCTGCCGACCTCGTTCATCTTTGCTCTGTTCTATGACTCGATACTCACCGCGACAACAATGGCAGTCACGCTTGCGTCGTCGCTCGCCACTGCGGCGACAACTTGGCTGTCGGAGCCTGACGCGGTCGTCGTGGCCACACCCAGTGCTGCGACATCCAACGCAACAAGCGTCGAATGCGCCGCCACCTTTGCCGTCGCCTGCTTTCCGTTCACCTGCGACGTGACTGCGGCCGCGTGCAAGAGCGTCTGCGCCTCCGATGCCGAGTGCTTCCTCTCGACTTTGTGCATCGACGGTGTGTGCCAGGCGAGCGCCACCGCCGAGCTTGCAGTCTCGGGCTGGACAGTTGCGGTGCTTGTTGCCGCATGCCTTGCGTTTATCGCTGTCTCGGCCCTGCTCCGTGCGTGGGACTCGGTCGGCTACGGCACGGTTGCGCTGGGTATGATCATCGGCATGCGCGTTGCCATCCGAAAGCTGCCGGGTGTCTCGGTCGTCGACAAGATGGGCGACGTGACGACTAGCAGCGACTACGCCACCATCTACGAGGTCGCCCAGGCTCCGCTCGCGTTCTTCCGCTCACCTCGGGCTCTGATTCCGTCGCTAATGCTTATCTTCTCGCACAAGCTGGCGATTACGGTCGTCACCACGTACCTGGCCTTGGGTGCACTGCGCGGCAGCCGGTACTTTCCCGAGGCGCCTTGTGGTTGGCCGCGTACCTGTTCCCGAAGCTCCGCTGGGGGACTGCTGCTTTGATTGCATGGCGTACGCTCGCGGTATACCGTGCCGACGTGCCCGGTGGCCTCAACCCGCGGCGCTCGCTGTCGCGTGCCCACCGCATCCGCCGGGTGGCGTTGCTGCTGCTCGGACTTGGTGCTGCGCTGGCGCCCGAGCTTCACCGGCCTCGTCCGGAGTGAGCGATCCTGTACGTGCGCCGTCAGGCGTGAGGGCGACTGCCTTTGCCGGCCACTCGCTGCAGCCGCTGCCGTTGCTGGAGGGAGCTGGCGTGAATTCTTCGAGTGCCGAATGCAGCGCCGAGCTTGACGTCCGCTGTGGGCCTGCCTACAAGTGCGATGTCGTGGGAGGAAAGTGCCTTTCGTCATGCTCTGTGCACGCGCACTGTTGGCCGATGCACGCGTGCGTCGACGGCGACTGTGTCCCACTGGGTGGTCCTGAGCCGAGGCCGTGGCTCGTCGGCACGCTCACCATCACCGCGCTGTCATTGTGCGGCGTTGCCGCGGCCCTGTTTGTCACGCTCCGCGTAGGAGCCCGAGCCAGGGGTGTGATCCTGGGTGTGAGCGTGTTCGTGGCGACAATCATTGTGGTCGCCGCCGGGCTTGACGTCCTGGGCACATCGCCTGATCCGCTCTCTTCACGAGCGGTGGCAAGCTCGGCAGCGAAGGATGCGCCCGTGTGCTCTATGGTGCTTGACTCAGTCTGTGCGCCTTTCCGGTGCCACACCGGGCGTGGCCGTTGTGCCAGGGCATGCGCCGCCAGCAGCGACTGTGGACCGGGCTTTATCTGCGACAAGGCAAGCAGGGCGTGTGTGGACAATGACTTGCGCCACGGCTGGCGGTGGGTATTCTACCTCGGAGCGACCGGCGTGTTCTGGTGGGTAGTCCTGGCCGTGATTCCGTGGCTGCGGCGAACAAGGCAGTGGTGGCACGAGCGCGAAGCGCGCCGCAGGCTTGAAGCCATCGAGGCTGAGCGCGAGGCCATCAAGGCCGAGATCGCGGCCAAGAAGCGTGCGCACAAGCACCGCCTTGACATTGACGTGCCTGTGGTCGATCCGACCGCCCCGCGATACGATCCATCCAAGCCGACGCCGCTGTACCCGTCGCCGCGGACAGCGGCAGCAGTGCGCGCGTTCTTCTCCGGCGACGACCACGGCGCCGACAGTGCCGGCTTGTCAGCCGCCGCCGACCTGGTTGACGACCCGAACGCGGTCTTTCGGCACACCGACTCGGCATGCTGCGTCTGCTTTTCCGACACGGTGGCGGTGCGGATGCTGGGGCGCGCGTGCCGGCACGGGTTCTGCGACGAGTGCGCTGAGCAGGCGCTCAACACCATTGTGGAGAGTGGCCAGTTCCCGGCAGCGTGCCCGGGCTGCCTGGCTGATGGCGGCATGGCAGCGCCTGTCGAGACAGCCTTCATCCCTGCCCACGTCATCGAGGCGCTGGTTGCCCGTGGCGTGCTCTCCATTCCGTTTGGCCGCAAATTTGTGAGTCAGCAGGTCATGCACGCCTTTGACCGCTCGCAGTTTGTCTGCTGCCCGATCTGCGACCTCATGTGCTTCAAGCCGAGCTGGGACGACAAGGTTGTCGAGACCATGGTTGAGCCGTGGCGAGTCGAGTGCCCGGCATGTGAGTCCGCCTTTTGCATCAAGTGTAACGAGTACTACCGGGGGCACGCCGGGCTCACTTGTGAGGACTTTGAGTCCAAGACCCAGCGGGCGGCCGAGGCTGCGTCGATGGGCCTCATCCTCCAAACCGCCAAGGCTTGCCCACGGTGCGGAACCGGCGTCACGCACTGGGCCGGTCACGGTTGCCACCACATCTCCGGCTGCTGCGGCTACGATTGGTGCTTTGTCTGTCTCGAGCCTCACCCGTGCTCGCGCGTCGGCCACGCCCTTTTTTGCGACGACGGCTGCGGCTGCGTCCCGTGTCCGATCTGCCGCCCAGGCTCGCCGTGCGACAAGTGCCCTGGCGGCGATCGCTGCCCAAGCTGCTCCGGCGTCGCACCCTCCACGGCTCTCAATCCGGTCGATGCCCCAGACGATGCGGGCATGATAGACCTTGTGGACGTGATATAGCTAGTCCGCTCTTGTTGCTTCCGTTGTCAGACTCTGCTGTCGCTTTGCAGCAGGCGTGTGTGTGTACGCCCTCGTCCCCACCTCTATCGCCACCACCCCTCTCCCACACGCATACATACACACATACATACATACATACACCCAACACCCATACATACACGTACACACCTCATCCCAACACAACCACGCACGCACACATACATGTCGTTTCTCGCCACCACACTCGGCACGTTTGCGGTGCACGAGGCCGGGTGGCTGGCAAGCAACCTGCCGTACCTTGTGGCCGCCGATCGTGGATGGTGGGAGGCATACAAGGTGGTGCGAGTGGGCAAGGCGCGCGAGCCTGGATCGGACGAGCGATGGGCGCTGTTCTGGACCATTCTGGGCGATCACTTTAAGATGATGCTGCCACTGCTGGCACTCGCGTACTACCCGCTACTGGCGCACCTCTTCACCGCTGATGCCATGCCGTCGTGGCTCGAGGCGCTCGCGGCGTTTGTACTCTTCAACGTTGTCGAGGACACGCTCTTCTACTGGGTTCATTATGCGCTCCACGTGCCGCGACTGTACAAGGCCATCCATCGCAAGCATCACGAGCACGTGGTCACGTTTTCGCTCACCGGCGAGGTCTCGCACCCGCTCGAGTTCCTCGCCAACATCCTTGTTCCGCTCATGGCCGGCCCTGTCCTTCTTGTCCTTGCCTACCGCAAGGTCCACCTTGTCGAGTTCTGGGTCTGGATCGTATTCCGCACTATGCGCGGCGCCGACGCCCACTCGGGCTACCAGCTCCCGTTCCATCCGCTCCGCCTTCTCTCACCCATCTACGGTGGGCCCGCCTACCACGACCACCACCACTCCATCCGCGGCCGCCAGACCAACTTTGGCGGATACCGGTTCTGGGACTGGCTGTGCGGTACATACTCGCCCGGGCCTGCCGCCAAGGCCGCTTAGCCTCTGAGATCCATTCGCTCGCTCAAGCTACTAAGGCTGTTCTTGACCTTGACAGCTGCAGTACGTAGCGCTCTTGCATAACACACGCTCCTCCCGATCCATGTCGTGTAGCGCTGCAGTCCGGGGCGTGCCCGCACGCCGCAGAACACCGCACGACGAAATCCGACGTCACCTGTCGCTAGCCGCAGCCAACCGAACCAGGCCCTCCAGCCATCCAGAATGGACGAGGCCGGCCCGTCGACTCGAGACGGGCTTCGACTCACGGTACATGATCTCCCTCCCGAGCTCATGCTTCACATTTTCTCGTTTGTTGACACTGCCACGCTTGTCCGCCTCCGGCGCGTCTGCTCGACCTGGCGCTCTCTCGCAGAGGACAATGCTCTCTGGCGCAAGCTGGTGACCGGCACGTTTGAGCGATGCGGGCACCAGATCAATGGCAACTCCGATCTGCGGCCTGCTGCAGAACTGCACCTGGCATCAGTTGTCTCGCGCCACTTCCAAGCTGTCATGGCTGCCAATCCCGACCTGGCTGCCCGCCGTCCCGACTTGGATCGCCCGCTCCCGCCTTTGCTGGCTGCTCCCGCCGAGCGAGCGCGATCCTCCGTGGCTCGTCATCACGAGAGCGAGGAGAGCAGCGCAAGCCGGAGCAGTAGTGATGCCAATAGTTGGGTTGATGTCGCCGGCCTAGTCATGACCTCTCGCCAAGTGCGGTCGTTGTCCGACAGGGAGGCGCCGCGCGGCCCCCACCCGCCGATTACTTCGACCGAACACAATCCGCAGCAGTTCTTCATCAACCACACGCTTCCGGAGGAAGCGATGGGTGACTTGTTGGCACCGGTAGCAATGGTGTCTCAGGCGCAAACGCAGGATCGTCCGTTGCTGAGTGCCGAGATTGTGGCGCAGTTTGTGCCGACGCCTGGGCTCAACTCGGTCTACCGCGCGGTCGACGCGATGGCGATCAAGTCTGAAGACGCGCTTGTTGCGTGGCGGACGAAGCTTCGCGAGGAGCGGTTTGGCGAGTTGTTTGCCCTTGTGTTTTCTGTCATCATGCTTGCGTCGTCGGTCTTTGAGTGTGTGGCGATCGTGCTCCTTGCCGACGGCATCGTCGACTGGTCCTGGCGGGTTCTCGTTCCGATTGCCGTCTTCTATGCCCTCCTTCTTCTCACGATTCCATTTGATGTTGGATCGAAGAGTCCAGGCGGGGCGTGCTTTATGGCGTGGATGGTAGTCTGGACGCTGCTTGCGGTTGTCACCTTCTGCTGCCGTGGCGACAATGTGGTGGTCGGTGAGTGGACGCCACACAGCGTGTACCTTCCGCTCAATGCCGCGCTTCTCCCAATTGAGTTGTATTGGGGCATGATTTCAGGCGCGATGCTTGTCGAGGCGTTTCGTTCGCGCCTGCGCGGGCTCGCAATCCGTGTGTACTACGTCTTTACCGGCGGCGCCATGCTCATCCCACTCTCCTTCCTCATCCAGTGGCAGATCGAGTTTCCGGGCAGCAAGGTGACCTCGTGGTGGCACGCTCTGACGCCGTTGATTGTGGCGGTGTGGATGTTTGCGCCGACATCGACCTTTGTGCTCTTACTCGACGCCGCTGTGCTTCAGCTCCCAATTGCGACCGACGGTGTCCTGTCCTTTGTCGGCTGCATGGGAGCCATGTCGATCTACGGCGGCATCTTTGTCACGGTCGCCACCAACTCGCTACACAATAATCAGACGCTGGCGTGGGCCTTCTTTCCGGTCTTTTTCATCCAACTCTACTCGCTGGTGGCCATCGGTCTCATGAGCTTTGAGTCGCGCGCCTTCTACGGCTGCTGCCCGCGGCCGTGCATCCCGCTCTGGCGGACGTCACACCTGGGTGACGGCTCGTGCTGTCAGCCGCCGGTGACTCCACCCGCCTCGATTCTACCACGATCCGCAGCCTGGGCCGCCGTCGCCACCTCCCTTGATCGGCTCGCAGTTGCCAACCGCCCTGCATCTGCCCGCTACGCGTCCGACTCCGCGTCGCTGAGCGATGTCGTGTGACGGCAGCCGTGAACGCCCATCCAGTACACACCCGTTTGCTTTACTCACTGCTGATATTGCAGCCGGCCCTTCGCGACGCCAGGTCGCCATCATCACGTCTGCTGGGTCTGCTCCAGCAGCAGCTGCTCGCGGGCCAGCGAGTCCAGCCGCTCGCAGGTGAGCATGTCGGTGAGGACCTGGATCTTGAACTCCAGCAGGCGATTCTTGTTCTTCAGCTCACGGTTCTCCCTCAGCAAGCGATCAACCGCCTCTGCCTCCTCCCCACCCAGCCCCTCGCTCGACTTGATCGAGTCCGGCACCCTGCGCATCCGCTTCTTCCGCCTCCGTTGCGAAGCCGTCGACGTTGTCGACACGTCCATGACCGTCACCCAACCCGCGTCACTGCAATCCAAGTACGAGCCCGCTTCAAGCCACACTAACCACCGTTTCCGACCACGCCCTCCCTCGCTGTTGGTGTGCGACAAGTGTACCCTCCCGCGGCAGCTTGAGTCCAAGCCCAAGCCTAAGCCGCCAGCCCAGGCCGCCAGACCTGGCCCGTCGCTCTCCGCTCACCGTCCACCACACCCAACTCCCGAACCCCCCCCCCTTCCAAACCAACCACACACACACACACACACACACACACACACACACACACACACACACACACACACACACACACACACACACACACACACACACCACCCCCCTCCCTCTATTCCCTTCACCCTCGCCCTCGCCCTCGCCCTCGCCCTTGCCCTTCCCACTCCACCTCACGCAAAGTCGGCGACCAAACCGGTGGTGTTCCACAAAGCCAGGCACGCCATGAACTTTGCGGCGTTCAGCCTACCGCTGGTAGTGGTGGATCGATCACGGGCGCCCGAAGTTGTCCGTGCTCTGCTCCACACAGTCCTGTTTCAGAGAACGTTTGTAGAGAGTGATGGCTCGGACGCAGTCGTTCCGGTCCCGGTCGACATGGACCTCGGACTCAACATCTGCTATCTCATGTCGCCACGCAACGAGGATGACGTGGATGCGCAGGTCGCTGCCTTTGCCACACGCATCAAGGCTGCGACGGTGCAGATGCTCGAGGTGCCGGTGGCTGAAGCCGAGGTCATGCCGCCGTCGACATCGTCCACTGAGGGCGACGCCGCTGGTCCGCGCGACGCCACCGGCACGCGCCTCCGCTCGGTCGAGGGCGTGGCCGATGCTCTGCAGATCTCGTTTATCGAAGGCCGGCGCAAGAAGGTGCTGTTCTGGGAGCAGTCGGACTATGTCCAGTGGGAGCGGTGGACGCTGTCGCTGGTAATCATCGAGCTGCCGCAGTCTTCCGAGGCGCGCCTCGAGTGGCATGCCATTGTCGAGGCCTCTGTCCGGGCGGCCCTCGTCGCTATTCTCGACCGTGTCGCCGCCAAGCGCGACCACCTGCCGTCGCTCGACAACATTGAGCCAGACTCGGGTCACGAGTTCAAGGTCCTCCCGCCTGAGACTGCTCTTGCGTCGGTCTCGGGCGCCACCGTGCCGGCGTCGCCGCCGGCGGCATCGTCGTCGACCTTTGCCTTTTTCCGCTCGCTCGGCTCGTTCAAGCCGGGCGACCGGGTGTAGTAGCCGACGCCGCTGCCTGTGGCGGCGCCCATGGCGTGATTCCCAATGAACTCCGGACGGCGCCAAGGCTCGCCCGCGACTGGAGCAGCTCCTCATAGTACACACACATGAGCGGTGCCTTGAGGCTGCTGCGGGTGCTGATGGCCCACGGGATGCCGCGGGTGAGCAGCCGCTTTCGGGCCGCTGCATCGACGTGCGAGGTGATGAACGGGCCGGCCAGCGCAGAGAGCACGTTCATAGGCAGCCCGGTCTCGCCGGCCTCGATCCACTTGAGCATGACCTCGCCCTCGACGTCCGGCTTGACCCCGTAGAGCACATGCCAAAAGTCGTGGACCTGTCGGTACCGCAACATGACGTAAGCCAACTCGTCGTCGTCCACAAACCGGACCGCCGGCCGCTCGTCAGGCGAGAACCCATGGGTGGCAAGAAACGTGCCGTAAGCAGCGGCAAACGAGCTCTCCGGCGTGTTGGCAACCACGCCGGCGGCCTCATCCGCCGCCAGCGCCGCAGCAGCCTCGGCCGCCGTGGCTGAATCGATCATCGGCCGCTCCGCCAGGATCCTCGCCCCGGTCTCATCCCTCGCCATCTGCGCTCGCATCGTCCGCAGCGCCTCCAGTCCCGTCGTCTCCCCGAGCGCCGACACCAGATCCGCCCGTGTCGGATCCAGGAATGCACCCACGGCTGCGCCCGCCGCCAGTACAACCCGCTGCAGCGGCGACAAGCTCGCCGCCCTTCGTCCGCTCGCCGTCACCGCACCACGCACCACGCCCACGCCTGCTCCCAGCACCGACCGCAACATGATGCTCTCACTGGCTGCCTCGGCTATCCTTGTCCAGACCACTCCCTCGCCTTTGCCCTGCCCTTGCCCTTGCCCTTGCCCTAAGAGTCGGGTGTTGCCCAAGCCTTTGACCTTGGCCTACGTCTCGCGCACCTTGCTGTGACGCGCTCGGCAACAACAGCCCTCCGCCGTCCATCGCAGCCCCCCGTCGCCCATCGCAACCCTCCGCCGTCCATCGCAGATCTCAGAAAAGCCACACACTCCTCCTAACTAGAAACCAGTGCCCATCATCGACCATGCCACCATCATCCACCGTCTCTGTCGACAAGGGCACTGATCACATTCGTTCACAACGTGGAAGGTGGGGAAAAAGTGGCCGATTGGCGTTCACACACGATTGATACCACCACGTGAAAGACCGAGGGGGGAGACGACCATGTCATAGAAGGTACACCTGGTGTGCCCACCACGACATTATCCATCTCTAACCAATAACATAAGCCACCGTCACCAATGATCATTCTCTCCCGTCTACTATCGTCGCCACCGCCATCACCACATGTTCGCTCTCAGCAGCCACCGCACAGCCAGAAACGACCGTGACACCAGAGACACTCGCCACCGCCACCCTCCTCCTTCCCCACCACCACCACCACCACCACCACCACTTCTCCACATACGCATTTCACAAGGGGTGCAACATGGCCGACACTCCTCCGAGTACGTGTGTTTGGTAAGAGGGGAGGAGGAGGGGGGGGAGGGAGAGGAAGGAGGTGGGGGGAAAGGGGGGGGGGGGGGGGGGGGGGGGGGGCTGGCTCCAATGGCGCGACCTGTGGTGGCTTCATGGCGAAGGGATGAGGACTGGGACAAGGGCAGGGGGGGGGGGCTGTGGACTCATGGTGGATGTAGAGGATGAGGCGCCTGAGACTCGGCAGGTGGATGGTGAGCAGCAGAATGGTGGGCCAGCGGCTTCGGTCAAGTTGGACGACGACGACCTGGCGCTGTTGGCGTCGGTGGAGCAGCAGAGCCGGACGGACATCCTCCGGAGCCAAGCGATCACAGCTCCGAAAAAGGCCAAGAAGAAGAAGAAGAAGAAGAAGAAGGAGAAGGAGTCCGAGTCTGGAGAAGACGCAGACGTTGTCTTTGACCACAAGCAAATCACCGACGAAGAGCGCGAGCTGCTGGAGATGCTGGGCTAGACTGGTAGCCGCGCTCTCCTCCAGCCACGATCACGACACGACCGTCATTGGGTTTGGGGCCTTGCATGTAATGAACTCTCTGATCCACCCAATGGTCATTGGCGGGGAAACGAGCGGGGCGAGAGAGCTAAGCGTCGTCACCCATGGCGGCGACTAGGGCGTCGATGCGGGCAAACTGGTACGACCAGTCCGGGTAGAGGAACTGGCGGAGATCGTGGCGGTTGTCATCAGGTGAGTACGACTCAGCGTGATAGGCCGGGGTGAGGGTGGTCATCTTGTGGCGGTTGCGGCCGTACATCTTGAAGAAAAACTTGACCTTGTCGGCGACGGCAGCCGGGGACAGGTGTGGCCACTTGCGGACGAGGGCCTCAAACATGGAGACCGGGCCGGCCTTGCCGATCTTGCGGAGGCGACCGTACTCGGTCAGCTCGGCATAGGTCATGCCCATGTCGGCCTCGTCGGTCTGGGTGTAGTCGGCGGTGATGGGCTCGAGCTCGGCTGTCGGCGGCGCCGCGATGATGTCGGCGAGCGACGAGTAGCCGAACCGTTCGGTAGCCCAGGTCATGAACAGCCGCAGGTCGGCCTTGCAGATGGCGCCGATCGGGTTGACGTCTGCTGCCGAGCAGTCGTACTTGGTGTAGTACCCGCGGATGGCCTCATCGACGTTGGCCGAGCCGAGGACGAGGAGCCCGCCGCCAGGTCCGCGGACGGTGGGGATGAGCTGGCCAAACAGGTAGGCGATGACCATCCGCGACCGCGCCTGGATGTTCTGCAGTGCCAGGTTCTCAGCCCACGACCCGCCGTGGACCTTGAACTTGGGTGTGAACGAAGTGGTCTTGGCGAAGAGACTCTCAAAGGCAGACACAACCTCGTCGATGTTGATGTCGAGGTGGTACGAGCCAACTTGCTCCGCGAGCGCGGCCGCCCGCGCCCGCGTCTCGGCCGACGAGTTAGACGTACCCATGTAACACGTGACAAAGATGGCGTCCGCAATGGCCGCCGGCGACTCAGGACGCCAATCCGGCTCCGACTCGGGCACCCGGACCATCCGCCGCAAGTCGGCAAGGACCTGCGCGTCCGGCCCGTCCTCGCTCATCACCGCATCGTACACCATGTGGCACATCGAGCCGACAATCGTCGCCGTCGCCGACGAGTCAATGCCACCCGAGAGCGGCACAAAGTAGCCTGAGAGGCCCGACCGCCGGAGGTAGTCCCACAGCCAGGCCGCCGGCCCGTACGCAATCTCTTCCTGCGGCAGCGGAATCCGCGGCTTGCCCAGCGCCTCGGTCAGCGCCCGCCTCCGAGCAAAGGTCGAAGAGAGAAAGACCGAGCTCACCGCATCCGCCGAGGCCGACGGGTACATCGGCGCGTCCGCTGCTTGCTTGGACGCCGACGCCACACCAGCCCTGAACGAGCGCACAGCGTCGAGGTCCACCGTCGCCGTCACCACGTCGACGTCGCGGAGCGAGAACTGGTCGCCCTGGGCCACCAGCTTGCCATTGCAGAAGATCATGGCGCACCCGTCGTAGTAGCACCGCCCGCCGTCGCAGCCCTTTTGGTTGGCGTACAGGTAGATGCCGCCGCACTTGCGCGTCGCGTTGCCTATGAGGTCGATCCGCCGCGAGAGCTTGCGGAGCTCGTGGTGCGAGCCCGAGCCGTTGCCAAAGATGTCCACCCCGTCGAGCGCCATGCTGATGTGCGGCGCTGCCGGCGTGAAAAGCTCCTCGCACGTCTCCGACCCGAGCGTGGCATCGGCAAACCGCAGCACGCCGTCGCCAAACGGCGCTTCGGCCTGCCCCGTTACCTCACGCAGAACCCGCGGGAGTGCGACCTCGATGGTGGTCCGCGGCCGCGACCACGCCGTGAACCACCGCTCCTCCCGGTAGTTGCCGTCGTTGGCTAGATGCATCTTAGGCCGAACAAGCACAATACGCCCGTCGAGAACAAACACTCGCACATTGTACAGCACAGATCGGAAGACATATGGCATGCCCACGTCCAGCAGCATCCCCTCGGACGCACCCGACGTGATCAGCTCGGCAAGCACCTCCACCGAGTGGAAGAACGTATCCTTCTCCAGAAAGTGATCCTCACACCCATACCCTACGCCGCCATCAACATCACCACCATCATCATCATCAGTACATGCTCGCCCAGACCACCACACGATCTGCCTCCCTTCCCACGCCCAGCACCGCCCGCCTTTGCTACCCTACCTGGAATGCACAGCTCGGGTGTAATGAGGTACGAAGCACCTGCTGCCTTGGCCTCGGCCACAGCCGCCAGAATCCGGTCACGGTTGCCGGTAAAGTCCAGCGCAAACTGATTGAGGGCACATGTGGCAACCGTCACAACCGTCGGGTCCATCCTCTACTCCCTCTCTCTACGCGTCCAGAGTGTAGTGTACTCGACCTCGTCCGTCATCGAACGCAGCTTCCAACTCGGCTCCCGCAGAGCCTGCTCCACCCCCCCCACCCACCCACCACACACACACACACACACACACACACACCTGCTCATCCGCTGAGATGCGATGACAAGGGGCGATGATCTCAACAGCAGAAGGAGACAGCTGGAGACATGATCGTCATCGTCATCGTTATCGTCATCGCGATCGTGATGGTGAAGGCGAACACAGCCACACCTCCGCCACCTCACGGCCCATACCCATACCCCCCCACACACACATACACATACACCACTTCGCTCCACACACGCCACACATACTCACACACATACACATACGCATACACACATACATATATATTCGCATATATGGCTAGCGCAAGTGTGCTCGGCCCTGAGCAGGACGCCGTCATTCAAGGCGGCAAGCTGGTGGTACGGACGCGGGCGCTCAACGCATACCTCGTCTGCGAGCTGTGCAACGGCTACTTCCGCAACGCCACCACGGTCTCAGAATGTTTGCATACCTTCTGTGAGCCGTGCATTCTGCGCCACTTTGACTCGGGCTCAACAAAGTGTCCCACGTGTGAGACCGACCTCGGCGCCGACCCCTTCACCGCTATCCGCCAGGACATGGCCCTCAAGTCGCTCGTCGAGCGTATCTTCCCCAACGCCGGCCCTGGCACCGAGCCGAGCCGCAAGAAGAAGCGCAAGCGCTCGCGCTCGAAATCTACCGCGACCGCAGCCGGGGCCGGAGCCGCAGAGACTCCGACCAACGACGCTGCCGCCGCCGCCGAGGCCGGCGAGCCCGAGGCCAAGCGGGCCCGCAAGCTTGAGAACAAGAAGAGCGCCGCGCAAAGCGGACGAGTTGGTGATGTGTCTGTTACCACAAAGTATCTGGGCATGGACAAGAGCGCGCTCCCGCCGAACGTCTCGGTCTCGTCCAAGGGCATTGTTACTGTCGACAACGTCGACTGGGTCAAGTTTGCTGTGCACCCCGACCCCAACGACGCCGCCACCCTGGCCCTCCCGTCCATCGCGTCTGTTATGCAAACCAAGGCCTCAATCGACATCAAGCGACTCGCCAAGCACCTCCGCAAGAAGCTCTGCCGCAACATCCCGGGTGCCAAGATCGAGATCTTGTTCAACGGCGAGGTCTGCGCGCCGGAGTTCTCGCTCGAGTTTATCATCAAGACCCGCTGGCACTCACGCGACTCGGCCGACGTCCTCGACCTCACCTACCGCATGATTCAGTCGTAGCTATAAAGCCGCCATGTTATCTCGATCCTGTTCCTCGCCCGCCTCATCCCCACTGCGGACTCGCACCCTGCGGCGTAGGCCCAAGGGTGGCCGGCCCCGGCGCCACAAGCAGCTCAAGCACCGTGCCGCTGCCAAGGCCGTACGACGCCAAGGTCCGCGATGCATCGAGGAGGACCAGGCCGTCAGGCGGGACGCCGCCAGCAAAGGCCGGCGCCAGCTCGAGGCTCTCGCGCGGGAGCCCAGCCTGCCCCGCAACCACGCTCTTGACGTCGGCCACCGTGTGCGATGCCGAGACAGAGAGGGTGAAGACCTGGTTCCCACTCCGCCACCGCACAGAAATCTCGAACAGAGGCTCGTCGCCGCTCGCGTCGACCAGCTCACCGTCGCTGCTGAACCCGTCGTCGAGCTCGTTAGCGCCAGTGTCGGCCCCGGTGTGGGCCTCGAGCGCCTTGGCCATGGCCCACAGCTCCTCTAAATACGGAAAGGCCGAAGGCCCGTCGCCCAGCGGCGGCGCTTCCAGCGGCGGGAGGTCTGGCATGCCCAGGACCCGCCCAACCCTGATGAGCGCCGCCAGCGCATCGCGCGCCGCGTTGATGTCGTGCGCGTGCGCAGCCGTCACGTTGACATCGATGACCAGCGGTTCGCCAAACCGCCGCCCGGCAGCGTCCATAAACGCCCAGCTCGACAGCGCCCGCCCGCCCGTCTCAGGCGCCTGTACCTCGAGGCTCACGTTGATCCGCTCGCCGGCGCCCACCGCCGGCAACGCGATCGAAGGCGACTGGGCGAGCAAGCTGCCCGAGACAAAGACCAGAAACGCCCGATCCCACACCTCGACGCCGTCGTTCACCACCGACCAGGTCTTGATAAACGTCACGTTGGGTGCCAGCGCCGTTCCTGGCGGCACCGTCACGTCTCCGACCACACGGACAGAGAGCGGTGACTTTGAGCTACTCGGCGACGCCGACCGCTCCCTCCGCCGCGGTGACCTGCCACTTCCTCCCGCCGCACGCGGCACCCGCCGTCTCTTGTACGGCATGGAGACCTTCTACGTCCTGCAAGTTGAGTGCTGCCGCTTGCTCTGGTCTTTGCCAATGCCCTTGCCCTGCTCCCGGTGAGCAGGCTGCTGCCGTTTGGCCAAACTGCGCCGGTTGGCGGCAACGCGCGCGCGTGGGAAGGCGAACAACAACGTTATACTGACGCAGACAAAGGTGCGCCAATGGTTTTAGTTGGACGAGCCAGAAGAGTTACGTCGGGCCTCGGCGCGTAGCTGGGCATCGGCTTGCACCAGATCGCGGAGAACCTTGAGCCGGATCGGGCCTGACGACCGAGCGGAGGAGACGGCAAAGAAGACGTCATGGTCGGCGGTCGCCTGACTCGGGCTTACCAGCATGGTGACTGTGGGATCGTCGCAGGCGGTGACCCATGCGTCATAAGCGGCCAGCTCGCTGTCGACATCTTCGGCGACGACAGCAGCGGCGGCGATCTCGCGCATCAGCGCCCGCTGCGCCTCGCGCAGAGCTGCCTGCGCTGCCTGAGCCACTGCTCGCGCCGCCAACGCCGCATCGGCTGCCGCGTACTCAATTTCATACACATGCTGGCTCGCCAAATGCGCAAAGATGAGGCAGAGGAGCTCGGATGGAAGCAACGGAAGGAGACAGGCCGAGGCGTAGCGGTACTCGCCCGAGTCGGGATCGTGCGAGCGGGCAATGACCAGAACAGTGAATACCTCGTCGCGAAAGGCTTTGGGAAAGTACCGATGCCGCTGTGGCCTCCACCAGCGAGTCCGTGCCTCGGTCCACGCCTCGATCATCGCCGTTACGGCGGCCACGTCGTTGTCGCGATCGGCGATGGTCCGAAAGTCGCGATGGCAGATGTCGATGAGCGTCATGCCATTGTGTGTGGCGGTGAGCACAGGCGAGCCGGCGTCGAGCAAGAATCGCACCGCATTGACCTGGGCGTACCACGTTGCATCCGCCAGCGGAGTAAAGCCGTACGCATCGCGCGAGGCAATGCTGAAGCCAAACTCGGCGACGAGCCATCTCGCGAGTTCTTCGTGACCGCCCCACACCGCCCGATTGAGCAGAGTGTTCCCTCGCTCATCGCGCAACAGTGTGATGTCAAGCGGCGCCAAGGCTCCCGACTCGCAATCCTCGGTCGACTCTGCCTGCACCAGGCTGATGTGCATGGCCACGGCCTCGGCGTCTCCGGCCTCGGCAGCGTGGAACAAACCGACCTGTGCGGGGGTCGCATACAGCACCGTCTCCAGCTCGTCGTCCTCCTCCTCCCACTCTACCACATGCCGCCACATAAGGATATCTGCCTGGTGAGAGCCAGGATGTGGGTAATGACAGGCAGTGTCAGCGGGTGGGGGGAGTGGGTGTGGGTGTGGGGTACGAGTGGCGGCGCGCACGGCCGCCTGACAGGCCGCCAGCCAGCAGAGCGCATGCAGTCAAACTCGACCATCGTACCGTTTTGACACATGGTTTTTTTTTGCTTGTTGGAGAGTAGGGAAGGGGGTGGCCGGCGACGAAACCGGTGGTGCTTGCACAGACGCGAGCTTGCGCCGGCGTGCACGTGCACTCTGCTTTGCGTGGCGAGCAGAGGCCTGGTCGGCGGTAGTGTGCATGACTGGCTGGGTGTCAGCGCCAGATCAGCCGTGAACAACCGTGGGCGAGAGAGAAAACACAAAGAATGTGATCGACAGCGAGCGCAAGCGTCGACGCCATCAAGATGGGCAGCGGCCAGGACTCTAGTTAGGTCACACACACCCCGAGTCCGCTCCACCTTTCGCATCCCAACCTACGCCACATCACATCGCTCACCGCATCGCAGCCTGGCAACAGGGCCATCAAACGCGCGACATGACAGGCACACTGCGGCAGAGAGCGGTGAGCGTGGAGGGCAAGCGAGAGGGGGGAAAGAAGCAAGGCACAGAGCGCCGTCACAAACAAGACGACGAGGCTAGCCTAGCTAGTCCTTGTTGATACCAAGAATGCGCTTGCGGTGCATGTACGGGAGCTTGGGGATGAGGGCAAATCCGACGGCGACGACGTTGATGACAAACTGGGTGGTGGTAAAGTGGGCGTAGTGGCACGAGATGAGGAAGAGGACGACCGGGACTGCAGTGAAGAACTTGCGGGTGGTGGTGAACTGGACCTCATCATCGAGCTGCTCCCAGAGGGTGAACTCCTTGAACTCGCCCTGGTTGTGCTCAAACGGCGTGCCCTTCATCCAGTGCCACGTCACAAACGTGGTCTACCCATCCATACACAAGCCGAACGCACACACCCACAACCACCGTATGCAACACACATCACCATAAGTACATTTCCCCTCTCCATGCGCTGTTTCATCCCCGTAGCCCAAGTCATGCTACTGGTAGGCCTTCGGATAACTCTGGCCACCCCCCGCACCCCCCTCCCCCGACCTCTCCCTCCCGACCGCTTCCTTCCTTTCCAGAGCAAATCAAACATACCATAGTATGGAGGACATTGAAGAGAGTCCAAGCCGTCGTCGACGCCATAAAGCCCTGCAAGAGGTAGAGGAAGAACCGGAAGCCACCAATGAGACAGAGGTAGAAGATCCAGAAGCCGCGCCCGTTGATCCATGTCGAGTTTGGGTTCACCGCGTTCGGTGCTGCCTCGTCCATGTTGGCCTTTGCAGTGAGAGGAGTGTTGCTCAGATTGTTTCGACGCAAGTGCCCCGTGCCTGTCCGGCAGAAAGACTGGCGATCACGGCCGTATTAAGGAGACACGGTGAGGGAGGAGGGGAACGTGTTACGATCGCATGGCTGCTCGGCAGTGAGCAGCAAGGAGGAACGGCTGGTCACGACGATGGCGCGGCGACATCCATGGCGGTCGGCTGCTGCTGCTGCTGCTGCTGCTGCTGCTGCTGGGCGCGGGCCTGTGCCTGCTCGGTGCCGACTAGATCGCGCACGACGGCAAAGAGACCAACGAGGGCGCCGAGCTGGACCCGCTCGGTGGTGGCAAAGGTGAGGCGGTACTCGAGATCGGCGAGCTCCTTGAGCAGGACGCCGAGGACGTTAGACGAGAACTGCATGGTGGCGACGACGACGTGGATCTCGCGCACGATGTCGATGAGGGCAAGCCCCTTGTCGGTGCAGAGCTTGGTGACGGCGGCGTACGCAGTCGAGTACGGGTCGTTGAGCATCCAGCGGAGAATGAGCTTGATGTCCGACGGCATCGGGGCGCCGGTCGTCGAATAGATAAGCTCCTCGTCCAGGACGGTCGACGCCAGCGACGCCGACTGCAGGATGTTGAGGCACTTGCGCATGTCGCCCTGCGAGAGCCGCAGAAGCGCCGACTTGCCGTCAGGCGTGAGGGTGAGGCCCTCGGCCTCGAGTACGTGGTTGAGCCGGTGCTCGATCTGGTCCTGGCTCAGCGGCGCAAACCGGAACCGCATGCACCGCGACTGGAGCGCGGGAATGATGTTGGAGACGTAGTTGCAGATGAGGCAGAATCGGGTTGTCCGCGAGTACTTTTCGATGATGCACCGCAGCGCGTTCTGCGCCGTCTTGGTCATGGCATCGCACTCGTCAAGAATGATGAGCTTGAACCCGGTAGCAAACATTTTCCGTGTCGACGCAAACGACTTGACCTGATCGCGAACCACTGCAATGCCTCGATCATCAGACGCATTAAGCTGTCCACCCCCCCCCCCCATCCACACACACACACACATACCCGCCGCCCGCGTCGACGCGTTTGTCCCTCCCGAGAGGTGAGTTGTCGCCCTCTGCAAAACATGCCGTACACACGCTCATGACGTTACCCAGACCCCCTTTGCACACACAGACAAAGAGGATGATGTGGAGGTTTCGTCCGCGTGTACGTTGTTGCGGTCCACCCTGGAAGGCCTCGACTGTTGGAAGCCTCGTGTGGGGAGGGACGGAGGGAGTGGCGTCGATCCCGACGTAGAATCTTCAGGGGCGAGGAGAGGGCAGATGGTGGGGGGCATAGGCAAGGCAGGAAGCAAGGTAGGGAAGAAATGATGTGGCATGCAGTTGGAGAATACGTTGGAGGGGGGAGCAGGCGTACCTCTAGGATCATGGACTTGTACGAGGGGCCAAACAGCTGCTTGGCACAGGCAAGAATGGTCGAAGTCTTGCCCGTCCCCGGCGGGCCGTAGAGCAGCAGGTGCGGCATCTGCTGGCGATCGATGAGGGTCTCGATAGTCGAGATGATCTCCTTGTGCGAGATAAGTTCATCCAGCGAGTTGGGTCGGTACTTTTCCACCCACGGGAGGTTCGGGCTCACGCTCGCCATCGCCTTTGGGCCGTGGAGGGGGAGAAGTGGTGACCGAGTCGAACGCGACGGTGACGGCGACAGCGAAAACGGCTCGAACCCTCTCACTGCGCGAGTTTTGGAGGGAGGCGAAAGACAGCCACAACTCGATGATCCCAGAGATCGAGCGACGGTCAGTGGGTCGAGAGGGGATATACGTGTGAAGGGGTGGATGGCAGCAGGCTCGGTGCCTTGGTAGTGCGGGTGTGCAGGAAGAGAGGTCTCCTTTAATCATAACGAGGGCTCAGAACGAGGGTCCAAGGCGCAGGACGTTGGCTTAGGCAAACTTGGCCGGGAGGACAATGCCGGAGCACTGGATAATCATGCGGGCGGCGACGTGGCCGGCCTCGACGCAGGCGGCGATGTCCTGTCCCTTGGCCAGAGCGGCGAGGAAGCCACCGACAAAGGCGTCACCGGCACCGTTGGTGTCGATGATCTTGTCGTCCTCGATCTTGTCGACGGCGTAGGTGGTGACGGCACCGTCCTTGGCGACGATGGTCTCCTCCGAGCCGCAGGTGATGACGACAGTGCGCGAGCGCTGGGTGTTGACCTTGTCGAGGGCGGCGATGGCGAGGGCGATCTCCTTGAGGTCGGTCTTCTCGATGCCGTTGTGGGTGGCGTAGTCGGCGGCCTCGTCCTCGTTGCCAAAGACGTAGTCGGCGTACGGCATGACCTGGGCCATCTGGTCCTTGAAGAACTGGACAAGGAACGGGGCCGAGAGGTTGAAGCAGTAAATCTTGTTGGTGTCGGCGGCATGGCGCGCCATGTTGAGCATGGCCTCGGGCGAGACGGTGAGGTGGAAGCCGGCCGAGTAGAAGATCTGCGCCTGGGTGACAAGCGACCAGATCGCCTCCGACTGGAGGTGGTCAGCCTTGTAGTTGTTGGCCGCCGAGAGGTTGGCCACCAGCGAGCGGTTCTTGCCGGTGATGAGGCAGCCGCAAGTGCCGGTCGGCGTCGCCTCGTCCACAAGGTACTCGACACGGACACCGTCGTGCGCCGCAGCCTCCGAAAGCTTGGTCGCGTACTCGTCCGAGCCGACGCAACCCACAAAGGTCGTCGCCCGCGCGTTGTCCATGTAGTGCTGCGCCACACGAATCGAGTTCTGGGTCGCACCACCAGCCGTGTACGACACGGTCTCGTGCTTGGACAGCTCCTCGTACCTGCGCCGCCCCCCCCCCCAACCAGACTGTGAGACTCGCCATATTCTCTTCTATCTACGCATCATACTTGTGCCCTTCTCACTTGCTTCTATCGCACGCTACGCCCTGGGCCATCCCTGCCCACGTGGCTTCCGTCCTCTGCTCGGCATCCCAATCCATCTCTGCTCACCAACGTCGCCTGACGACAGCTCGAGGAGACACGGGCATGGCAGTCGGGCGAGAGGGAGGGGAAGGGAGGGAGGGAATGAATGGATGGCGTACATCGGAATGTGCTTGTCCTCGGCGAGGATGGCATCGTTGGCCTTGAGGCCATACTTCTCGAGCATGCCCTCGTCCACAGTGGCCGAGATGTCGAGCAGCGGGTTGCCGAGGGCAAAGATAACGTTCTCAGTAGCCATGATTAATGAAGGGGGGAGAGAGGGGTGCCGATGACGACGGGGGGTTATCGCTGACGGAAACCGCGACCGACGCCATGGTGACAGCAGAGAGAACATCAGCGAGCGGGCCGATGCGGTACCTGAACGTGTTTGTTGTTTATCGACAGCTAAACGATACCACCGATCATGGTGACGGCAGAGGCAAGGAGGCCACGGGTGGTGACGGTGAGCTGGCCGTCGAGGTCAAAGCCAGGCCGATCGACCACGTCGTCGGCCTGGCGGTACGCCGGGTCCCGAATAAAGCCGCAGGTGTCGGTGACGCCCATGGCGATGAGATCCAAGAAGAAGAATGGTGTCTGCGAGCCGCGCGTCTCGAGCGAGTAGCAGGTGCGAACCTCGGGTTCGTACAGCGCCATGACTGCGAGGAAGACCTCATTGGCGATCGGAGTCGACCAGCGGCTCTTGATGCCAATCTCAATCGGGTTGCCCGGCGGCCGGTAGGCCACCATGTCTGCGCTCATGTACGCGACCATGTCCCAGCCGCGCACCGCGATTAGGTTTGCGCGCCACCTTGTTCCCCAGTAGCCTTGGCATCCGGCAGTCCAGAACGCGAACCTGATCGAGGCGTTGAATGTGCGGTCGGACAACGCCAGCACCCGCGCCATCTCCAGAAGCGCCGCCACGCCTGAGCCGTTCGAGTTGGCGCCGGGCGCCGGATCGGTGGTCGACGACGTGTTCTGCCCGCACGAGTCGTAATGCGCGCCGATGAGGATGTACGTCTCGTTGTGGAGTCCGGGAAGCGTGCCGTAGATGTCGTCCGAGTAGCCCTTCCAAGACTTGTTGTCGCGCTCGATCTCGAGGCCGAGACCCTCGAGCTGGACCTCAATCCAATCGCTCACCTTGACCGCATCCTCCGAGCCCGACTGACGAGTCGTCAGCGTCGACGTCTTGCCGGTCAGGTAGTCGAGCGTCTGCCTCATATGCGCCGGCGAGATCTGCGCCCCAAGTTTGGCAATGGCTGCATCTGGAGCGGACATCGTCTCCACGCGCGCGAGCACCTCCTCCAGCCGCGCCGTGCCGTTGACCCCAAACATCATCGGCTCCGGCGCCATCGGCACGGCCACCGTCTCCAGGCTCGCTTGCGCCACACTCGCCTGCAGCTTGGCAACGTCGGTCAAAGCCACATCAAACACCAGTCCGGAGCCATAGGCGTAGACCGGCTCGCTCTCCACCTGATTGCGGACCAGATGTGCGACGTCTACGCTCGGAGCCGAGACGACGACCAGCGACCGCGTCACATCCGATCCGATGTACATCTCGGGAGATGACGAGAGCACAACTGAGCCCAAAGGCAGCATCGACGCCGACCGCGCCAGAGCCAACGACACATTGTGCTGCGGCATGTCGTAATACATCTCCAGACTGTGGTTGCTGTCAGCCAGGACACTGCCGGGAGCGGCCACGAGGACTTGGCCGCTGAAGCTACCACTGGCAGCAGCAGTCGACACCAGCACCAGAAGAGCAAGAACAGCATGAAGCATAGAGTGCGACATGTTGGGAGAGAGGGCGGTGGAGTGTGAGGCGGAGGCGTCGTGGTGAGAGGGAAGGGCGGAACGTCGCACGTGCAAAAGCCGCGCTGCGGCATGACAAGCACATCGCTGTCACGTGCACGGAAGAAGGCGTTCATTCCCAGTCATCATCGTCGACATCGATCCAGAGGTTGGCGTCCTCGACTGGGTCAACAGCCTCAAGCTCGACATCGACGGCCTCGCCGACTGCGTCACCCGGAAGCAGCTCGCTGTACGACCCTGCAGTAGTCGAGCTAGTGCCACCGGTGCCGGTCTGCTGGCTAGTGTAGTAGCGGTAGCCAAAGAGACCAGCGGCGCCGAGGACCATGACTACGAGGGCAAAGATCGTCGACGACGACGACGATGAGCTTGTGGTGTCGGTGCCGGTGATGACCGGGCGCCGCTTGGGCGCGGGTGGCGGCGGAGGTGCGGCGGCGTCGGGTGGCGGCGGCGGCGGAGGTGCGGCGGCGTCGGGTGGCGGCGGCGGCGGAGGTGCGGCGGCGACGGGTGGCGGCGGCGGCGGAGGTGCGGCGGCGTCGGAAGGCGGCGGCGGCGGAGGTGCGGCGGCGTCGGAGGGCGGCGGCGGCGGAGGTGCGGCGGCGTCGGAAGGCGGCGGCGGCGGAGGTGCGGCGGCGTCGGAAGGCGGCGGCGGCGGAGGTGCGGCGGCGTCGGAAGGCGGCGGCGGCGGAGGTGCGGCGGCGTCGGAAGGCGGCGGCGGCGGAGGTGCGGCGGCGTCGGAAGGCGGCGGCGGCGGAGGTGCGGCGGCGTCGGAAGGCGGCGGCGGCGGAGGTGCGGCGGCGTCGGGTGGCGGCGGTGACGGTGAGGGCGAAGGCGGCAGCGGTGACGGACTCTTTGTCACGCATTTCCAAATGGTCTCCCAAATATCGGTGAACTTGGCTTGGAGCACGAACTCTTCGGCATAAGGACGGGATGCCTCCCAGATGAACTGATCATTCAGCTCCATGACCTTCTTTCCGGCGGCGTGAGTAATGCGGAAATCGTCGCCGAGGGCACCCCCTTGAACAGAGAACCAAGACAGGTCAGGAGCACATCGCCAGTTGAGGCCAGGACAGGCCAGAGCGCCAATCCCATCTGAGCCACTACTCCAATTGAGGTCAGAACAGATCCGATCCTCGTCGCCATCGACTTTGAACGTGATGGTCAACTCCTGGCCCTCATAGGGATCGATTTGACACAGCCACTCGGATGTTTCCTCGATGAGGTTGCACTTCGAGGTCTTCTGAGGTGCCGATGTCAAGATCAAGTCGGACACAGGGTCATTGCCATCTACCTTGATCAATAAAGAGTAGAGCACTCCGTCGTCACTATGATCAGCACCAACGATGCACGCACATGGCGGGGGCGGAGTCGAGCCTACAGCTCGGCCTCGCATCAGGCACGCCACGCCAAGCACAAGCACTACAACCACACTCAGTCTTGTCATGGCAGCTTAATCAGCAGCAGCAGATACAGATCGTAATAAGCAAAGGCACCAGATCCACAATCTCGGAACACTCAGCAGCAGCAGGAAGCGGCGGCAGCAGCAGGAAGCGGCGGCAGCAGCAGGAAGCGGCGGCAGCAGCAGGAAGCGGCGGCAGCAGCAGGAAGCGGCGGCAGCAGCAGGAAGCGGCGGCAGTCAGGAGAGCGAGAAACAGCCAGCACCTACCAGAGTGACCACACGAGCAGCAGGATCCAAACAAAGGCCTCAAGTTGGTGTGGCACAACTACGTAGAGTCTGTTGTGGAGGGAGTTGAGAGTACCTTGCTCTTGCCCGTCTACCTCGCACCACACTCACTAGCTGTGCTCGATGTCGCCAGCAGGTCATTCGGTCCGACGCGATGACGTCGACCAATCAAAGACCACACCACTCATCAATCACGTGACAGATCGTTGCTCCGTGAAGCATGTGATCAGAGAGCAGTTGCGGCGGTGAGAGTGGGGCAAAGATGACGTGCCAAGGCAGAGTCACGGTCAGTGTGATGCCACTGTGGATGGGCAGCGGAGACGAAGGTCGGAGGAGGGGGGGGAGGGGGGAGAAGGCAAGGCAAGGCCGGCATCTGTACGACCTCGTCGACACATGATCAGATGAGGATGTGGGTGGCGGGGCGATGCATCGAGCCTGTCAAGTCACGCGCGTTCTCACCCAGTGCGCGTCACCTATCTGATAGAACAACTCCGCCTGTTCAGATCAGAGCTCAACAGTCAGGGCCGGATACACCACACACAGGCCGACCCAACCCATCCCAACCAGCGCCACACACGCCAAGCACTCCTCCACTCCTCCCCGACAATTGTATCGCAGCTGATCTGTCGAAAGTGTGCGGTGGGGCCGATCGAGAGCGAGACGGCAGCGGGCAGTGGTGAGCGCGACACGAGGGCGGAAGCCGGCCAGGGCTCGGAGCGCGGAGCCTTGGCCGGAGACGTGCACGGGCCACACCCAACTCGTAGGAGAGACCAGAGAGTGGCGAGAGCAACATGGGTGTCAAGAACCTCTGGCGGGTGGTAGAGCCGACTGGGCGGCGTGTACCGCTCGAGGCGCTGTCGAACCAGCGGCTGGCTATCGATACCTCGATCTGGCTGGCGCAGTTCATGTCAGCCATGCGGGATGCAGATGGCGAGCCGCTGCCCAACGCGCATCTGCTTGGCATGTTCCGCCGCATCTGCAAGCTGCTCTTTGTCCGCATCAAGCCGGTCTTTGTCTTTGATGGCGCTACGCCGGCGCTCAAGCGGAGGACCGTGGCAGAGCGCGCGCGGCGCCGCCGCGCCGCCGAGTCCGCTGTGTCCGTGCCTGCGGCCCAGGCTGCGCGCAAGCTGCTCAAGCAGCAGATTGCGTCGGCAGCTGCAAAGTCGGCTGGCGCCAAGGCTGCCGGATTCACGTCGCGATCCGGTGGCACTGCAGGTGTCGCGGCGCCGAGAAGCACGCAGGCCGCCTCTGTAGACACCGAGTCGGACGAAGAGGACGAGGAAGAGGACGAGGAGGAGCTCCAGCGTGCGCTGGAGGCGCTGGATGTTCCAATGGATTTGAGCGCGTTGGATATGGAGGTCTTCAAGTCGCTCCCGCCGCAGCTCCAGCGGCGGGTCCTGCGCGCCATGAAGCGCAAGCGCTGGATCAACCGTGCCCACCGGTACGAGCGGCTGCAGGAGCTTGCTCCGACGTCAGACGCGTTCTCGCTGTACCAGATTGACTCGTTGGTCAACAAGCACGACATCACCGCAAAGATGCAAGAAGCTAACAAGGCGCTGGAGAAGCAGGTCGACGTCGTGCTGGACCATGTCGACGACGACGATCTTGCGCCGCCGGCGCAGACCGAGCAAGCCGGCATGGCCTCGATCGATGTCGGCTCGCACGGCGTTATCTCGGTCCCTGCCCACAAGATTATGTCTGACGCCTCGCAATACTACATCCTCGCCGAGCTTCCGTCTTCATCCACTCGCGGGTGATGGGCGTGACCGGCCATGTCGACGATAAGTCGCTGGCCGCAGCCCGGATGCACACGTCCAAGACTGCAGCGTCCAACCCGCAGCCGACCTCAACGGCCAGCACTGGTGCCGGCTCAAACGACGACGGCCCCATCACTATTGCTGTCGGCGACGCGGACGATGCCTTTCCTGTCGACTTTTTTGACCAGTACGCGGCCAAGGCTACACAGCCGACCTCAACGGCCAGCACTGGTGCCGGCTCAAACGACGACGGCCCCATCACTATTGCTGTCGGCGACGCGGACGATGCCTTTCCTGTCGACTTTTTTGACCAGTACGCGGCCAAGGCTACACAGCCGACCTCAACGGCCAGCACTGGTGCCGGCTCAAACGATGACAGCCCCATCACTATTGCTCTCGGCGACGCGGACGATGCCTTTCCTGTCGACTTTTTCGACCAGTACGCGGCCAAGGGAACAGCCTCCTCCTCTTCCAAGACCTCCACCGCCCGAACTGTTGTCGATCTGACTGAAGACGATGCACTCGATATTGTCGCCGAGTCTCGGCAGCATGCGGGCGGCGGATTCGTGGCCGAGTCTAGCCCTGCCGGCGGGTTCATGACCGAGAATGCCGAGATCCCTGAGGAGCTCGCGCAAGAGCTTGCCGAGCTGAACGCGCTTGACGACGGCGGAACGACGACCGACGAGGACGGGGCAACGACCGATGAGGATGAGGACAAAGACTACGGTGGCGGATCGGACGTGGTCGACCTTACAATGCAGGGCCGGTTGGCGCAGTTTGAGGCGTCGGTCGCGGCGCCAGCCAGGCCGCCTGTGGCCAAAGGCCCGGGCGCTGTGACCCGCGGCGGGTTCCTCTACTACGGAGCGAGCGGCGGCAACAGCATCGCCGACGAGATGGCCGAGCGGGCTGCACTTTCCGACAGCTCGTCGACAACCGCCGACGATGTCATGTCCGAAGTCGGGGCCAGCGCGTCGGACTCAGAGTCTGCAGACAACGATGGGTCTGGCGACGACGAGGCCGAGCTGCCGGCCGACGGCGGGGGTCTCGCCGCGGCGGCTGATGGCGACTTTGCCAGCGACCTCTCCAAGTGGGACGACCACGGCGTGGAGCTTGTGGATCTTCTCGTCTCGGCGTCGGTGCGCAAGGCGCTGGGTGCTGGCGGTGAGACGGCGCCGAGTGCGGCGGCGCGTGCGCTGCAAGCCGAAACTATTTCCGAGGAGCTCGTGTTCGAGTGCGCGTCGCTGCTCGACGTCATGGGCATTCCGTACATCCAGGCGCCGTTTGAGGCCGAGGCGCAGTGCGCGGTGCTACTGGAGCTCGGCCTCGTCGACGGCATCATCACCGATGACTCGGACGTGTTCCTCTTTGGTGGCGACCGGGTGTACCGGTCGTTCTTTGACGAGCGGCGCTACGTCCGGCGGTTCGACATGTCGGTGATGAAGGATGAGCTCGGGCTGGACCGCGACGCGCTCGTCTTTCTCGCACACCTGCTTGGCTCCGACTACACAGCGGGCGTACACGGGGTTGGCGCCGTGACCGCGATGGAGGTGCTCGCGGCCTGGCCGCCGAGCGAGTATGGCGGCGGGCGCGAGGGCGTTGTTCAAGCGCTCGAGGCCTTCAAAGCTTATGTGACTGCGCTCCCGCACGAGGCCGACGCGCTCATCGCGGGGCGTCCGGAGCGGCTGCGGGTGCGGGCGGCGGTCAAGCGGCTGCAGTCGACGGTCCAGCTTCCTGCGCGGTTTCCAGACACCGCGGTGGTCGAGGCGTACCTGGCGCCCGCCGCGACGCGCGACGACGAGCCGTTTGAGTGGGAGGAGCCGCGGTTCGACGCGCTGGAGCAGTTTGCGGTTCAGACATTTCGCTGGAGCGCCGAAAAGGCGGCCACTGAGGTGGCGCCGGTCCGGGCCTCGTACGCCGAGCTTGTGCCGGCCAAGGTCCAGACCAAGATCGACGCGTTCTACCTCGGCGCCGGCGCCGGCGGCCTCGAGCACATCACCCGGATCGGCTCGCGGCGGCTGCGCGGCGTGGTGGCGCAGCTGCTGGGCGTCAAGCTCTCGTCGCTGCCTGCGCCGCCGGAGGAGGAGGCGCGGGCGACGGCGCGGAAGCGCAAACGGAAGCGCGGCGCCGAGCCTGCGCCCGCCGAGGCGAACGCGCCGCTGCCGGCCGTCGCCGATGTCGACATGTTGCGGATCCACGATGCGCTGCACAACTACGCGGTGCGGCGGGTGGTGGTCCAGGGCGAGGCCCGCGAGGTGCAGGTCTTTCCCAACTCGGGCTGCCGCTTTGTGGCCGTCGGCCCGTACACCTTTATCGAGCAGAATAAGGCCAAGGACTCGTACTACGCAGCCAAGGCCCGCGACGGCGCACTCATCTCGTGGATTCCGACCAAGGACGGCTCGCAGTGGGGCTGCATCTACAACTCGGTCATCAAGCATCCGCTCCCGCCGCTCTCGGCCGTCGATCCCTCGGGCATGCACTCGTCCGAAGAGTGGACCCCGCACATGCTCGCCACCCTCGAGGCCACGCTAGCATCGGTCGAACGAGGCCAGGCTCGAGCCTCACCGGCTCGCCCGGCCAAGCGGGCCAAGCCGTCGTAGTAAACCGCTCCGAGAAGTGGCGACTCGTTAATCGGCTACCGCGGCAGCTGATCGTCGTCGGAGCGGGCAGTGTGGATCATGTTGAGGAGCTCGGACGAGGCGACCGAAGAGCCCGGCGGGTCGAGCGAGACGTCGAGCATGGGGTTGCGGGCGGCGAGGCGGAAGCCCTGAGCGCGATCGCGGAGATGAAGATAGCCCTCCATGCGGCGGCCAGTCGGATAGAGAACTTCATGCGCAGCTGGCACGTGATCGCACGCCACGCACGCCTCGCCCTCGGTCGACGAGTATGCCGGGCACGGGCACGAGAGGCACCGCCCGCGCCGCACCCCGTTGTCGTCGCAGCACTCGGGCGCCGTCTCCTGCGTCCCGTGCTTGTCGGTGCACGAGCATGCCCTACACATCGACATGGTGAGGATTAGGGGGGGGAGGGGAGGGGGGGGGGGAGGGACGAGGAGGCAGGCAGAAGCAGAGCAGTGTCTCCCAAGCTCCGGCACCAGCTCCAACTCTGACCGCGCTGCGTCCACGGGGTCGTCGAACGAAACGATCGGCTGGCTCCGTTGGGTGGCTGTCGGCTGGCAGGTCGCCGGCTCGCCAGTATGACAGCGAAGCACAAATAGGGGCGAACTAAATACTTGGCTGACACAGCCACCCGCCCAACCATGGCAGGCGCGCACGTGCCGCCGGTCAAAGCTAAGAAAAATGTGTGTCATGGCAGCGTGGCCGCCAGCTCAGCCCCCGCAACCTCCGCAAGAGTCGACTGCCAACCTGTACCCGGTGAGCAACACGGCTGAGGGCACAAGATACAGGCGTAAATACCACTGATGGCCATGTTGTGCCCACTCCAAGGATAAGCAGGCAGCAGGCAGGTGATCATTGGCCCCATGATGGGATTGTACACGTGGAGGGGGCGAAGGGTGACCCGGTGATCGTGCACCACGACGAAGCGCTGGGCGTCGGCGAAATGCGGAGAAACTCGGATATTGGACGATGGACGAACAAATGGTTCAAGAATGGCTGCATTGGAGATAGGTAAGAGTTATGGCGTGATTGAAGTTTGGCGACGTCGCCCCGCCACACGCGACTTACCCGACACCTATTCTGCAGCGCCCCGTGAACCAACGTTGTTACACCGAGGGAAGGGCAAGTCGATATGTCGTTTATGCGTGACTCTGAGATGAGTCTCGCTCCTCTGTCCGTGGAGAGTCTCTCTTCTGCCATGCTCGGGAGCCCTGGGAGCCTCCTCGCCTCGCCGCTTATGGACGAACTGTTCGGTGCGCTGACTGGCAGCTGGGAGGGCGGCAACCCCCGCAGTCAAGCCCACCATCGGTCCGCCTCCCGCTACGGACGAACATTGCCTCGCAATCATCAACGCCTACGCCCAACCCTATCTCATCGATCTCGTCGTCGTCGCGCTCCTCTTACTCGTCGCCGGTCTCGCCAAGCCCGGCCACTCCGCCCGAGACTCACCCTGTCGCGTCGGCGGCGACGACGTCGTCCGTGCAGCAGCAGCACCACCACCACCACCACCAGTCGGGCGGCGCCGGCAAATCCCATCCCGCCATGCGGCCCACAGCCCACATGCAGGCGCACACCTCGGGCGCGGCAGGCACGCACGCCTATGCACATGTGCATGCTCACGCGCACGCGCAGCCGACTTCCTTTTCCATGGCGCAGGGCGGCGGCTACTTTCAGGCCTCTGTCGCCCAGCACGGTTACCTCGGCTACGCACCGATCCAGGGCCACAACTTTTTGGCTGACATCCCCAACTGGCCCGGCCATGCCAACAAGGCTGCTGCCGCCAGAGCCGTCCCGCTGCAGGGCGCGCAGGCCACGGCTGGCCCGCCGCGCCCGCCGACCGGCCCGGCCGCCGTCCCGCGCAAGTCGCGGTCATGCGACCGCTGCCGCGCGTCCAAGCGCAAGTGTGTTGTCGACGACGGTGCTGCCGCCTGTCGCCGCTGCCTCGGCGTCGGTGCCTCGTGTACCTGGCTAGTGCCGCCGAAGAAGCGCGGCCCCAAGCCCAAGTCCAAGTCCAAGTCACAACCACAGCCGTCCGCGCCCGAGCTCTCGCTCAAGCGCAAGCGCGACGACGATTCGCAAATCGGGACGATGGCGCTGACGCTCCGCGAGACCCGCGAGCCAAAGGTCCTCCGCACCCTCTCTTCGGCGGACGTCGGCCGGCTCACCGCGCTGCCTATGCCCATGCCTACTGTCCTCCCAGTCTCCGCCGTCGAACTCAACTACGCCAAGGCCTTCTTCGACCTCGACCTCTACCGCATGCTGCCGTCGGTTCCGCCGGCGGCGACCAGAGCCGTGCTCGACATCTGTTCGTGGGCACGGCCTGCGCAGCCGGGCGCCATTGCGCCGTCGGTCTCGCCGGTTCTCGAAGTACTCACCCGCCTGGTCATTGCCTGTGGCGCGCTCTCGCTCGGCGATCTGACCTCGTCACGCGCGCTCTCGCGCATGGCCTCGGACCGCCTCGGTGAGCTCATGTCCCACCATACGCCCGAGGCCATCGCCTGCCATCTCCTCTTCACGTTTCTCAACATGGACGGCAGCTTGCCGCGCGCGCTCACGCACGCGCTCCTCGCCCGCGACCTCGGTGTCCACCTCGACAGCAAGGAGCCGGTCCCCGGCAGAATGTTTACCACACCTGCCTCCCCCGCACTTCGTCTCGAGACAGTCTTTTGCGAAGCTGCCATTCGCCAGTCCCGCCGCGTTGAGGCGATGCGCTCCGACACAACCTTTTCCGCCTCGCCGGCCTCGGAGCCATCCAGCCCGATGTCGAGCTCGTCAAGCTCGTCGTCTTCGGTTATGGAACCGTCGCCGTCGCCGGCCCCTAGCCCGGGCATCGCCGCCGTCCTCCCCATCATCTCGTCGGTCAACAAGCTGATGCATGAGACCAACATTCCGTTTGTCATTGTCCTCGCCCGCAAGATCGGCCTCGTCCCGAGTGACCTCAATGACCTCAACGTCGAACACGCCATCCCGGCCGCCGGGCCGCGCACCTTCAAGCTCTTTGCTGCGCTTCTCGGCCACTGCGACATCGACCTCGAGTCGTCGTGGAAGCCAGTCTCGTTTGCCGACGCCACCTCGGACCTCCAGCGGGCCAAGCTCAATCAGATCCTCGACAATGCGCCGCTGCCGGACAGCATTGTCAACGACCGCCGCTCGTCGGCCGAGGTCATTGGCGTCATCCGCAGTGCCCTCGTCGAGTTTGAAGACACGCTCGAGACGCCCCAGCTCAAAGCATCGTCGGCGCAGTTCACCCCGGTTCTCCCGCTTCTGGCCCCACTCCGCCTCGCGCTCTCCTCGATCACCAACCACGCTGAAGACCTTAACTGCGTCCCCGACAGCATCGAATGGGAGATGGTCGCCATTGGCGAGGAGCTGCTCCGCGACTCGCATGCGCTTAACGCCCGCCTCAACATCCACCTCAAGACCCTCGCCCTCTTTACCCTATTCTCGATGAAGCGTGGCCAGTCGCGCGCTTGTGCCCAGCTTGCCCGCGTCCTCCAGCGCACTCTCCCGCTCTGCTCCTCGCGCGTCGCCATGGCCCTCTACGTTCTCGTCATCGACGGCTGGAGCGTTGATTTGCTGTCCTCGTAGGAGCTCAAGACCGCTCCTTCCTCTCCTTCACTCGCCAGGTTCCCCCCCCCCTCATTGGTGGCTGGTTGGAATCGCCCAAACGGGCGCAATCGGAGTCTGCCCCCAAACGGGCGCAATGTCCCGCGGCAGCACAAAACCGCACCCAGTCCCGCGCACATTCCGCTATTCTGCCCCACCCAAACACCTCTCCTTCTCTCTGAAGCAAAGAACCTAAACTAGAGAACATGACCGAGTACAAGCTTGTTGTTGTTGGTGGCGGTGGTGTCGGCAAGTCCGCCCTCACCATCCAGCTCATCCAGAACCACTTTGTTGATGAGTATGGTACGTCACCTCCCTACCTCCGCTTGCCCATTTCGCCAACAAAGTGGACAGACTTCATGGCACACACCACATACCCCCTCCTCCCCGCCTGTCTCGCTTTCCATGGCCTCTGTCTGCCACACGTGCCGCACCACCCCCGAGCCCGTCGGCCCCTCTCGGCTCTTTTTTTCGCCCAATTGGGGGCGCGCGCCAGGCAGCACCACTTTGCCACTCGCCACTCACTCGCCATGTTGGAGACAGACCCCACCATTGAGGACTCGTACCGCAAGCAGGTCATCATCGACCAGGAGACGTGCCTGCTGGATATTCTTGATACCGCCGGACAGGAGGAGTACTCGGCGATGCGTGACCAGTACATGCGGACCGGCGAGGGCTTCCTCTGCGTCTACGCCATCACCTCGCGCTCGTCGTTTGAGGAGATCACCGCGTTCCGCGAGCAGATCCTCCGTGTCAAGGACGCCGACGCTGTCCCGATCATGATCTGCGGCAACAAGTGCGATCTCGAGTCGGAGCGCCAGGTCTCTGCTGCCGAGGGCGAGGAGCTTGCCAAGTCGTTCACCGTCCCGTTCCTCGAGACCTCAGCCAAGACCCGCGTCAACGTCGAGGAGGCGTTCTTCCAGCTCGTCCGTGAGATCCGTCGCATGAAGAAGGACGACTCGGCAGGCGGCAAGCCCGCGGGCAAGAAGAAGAAGTGCCTCATCCTTTGAACCGGTGGCGCCCTTCCCTCCCCCTCGATCTGGCTCTGGCTCTGGTCCTGCACTGATGCACGGCCACTTGGCCGCCTCTTCCTCCTTTCCCTGTCTTTACACATCAAACAAGCATACCCTGACGCCTGACCCCGCCTTGTCCCCCCCCCCTCCACCCCCACTCTTCCTCTCCTCCTCTCCACAGTGTGAGGAGCCACACAACAACAGGTCTCTCAACCGTAAACGCCTCGATCTTTTTCACCAGCCATCCATCACTCTCCCACCCCCGCCCCCGCGATCTTCCCTTTGCTGTCATCCCTTCTCCGCAAGATGGGTAAACTTGCTGCACCGCCATCTGGCCAACTCCACCCTATCGGGTGATGCTTACTATGTCACCGCAACATGATCACGGATTTTCGACCTCTTTTCCGCCATCGCCACACGAGCCATGGCGCCCGCTCTTGATGAGGCAGTTTGTGATATGGTCACGATCGCCTGATAAAGATGGTAACCGCGGGAAGCTTATAGCCATGTACGGCGGTCTACGATTGTGTTTGTGTATATGTCTGAGTATGATTGCTGCCTTGGCCGCCTCCAGCCGCATCCTTACCGCCTCTCCCTCTCACCTTGTGATCGTCCACCCTCACTCCCCTCATCGATCATCATCACCACCCCAACTGCTTCTCCGATCCCATCCCCCATGAACACTCCCTCACACCCGTGTGATCTTCTCCCTTCCCCCCCCCCCCCCC